GTGTTATACTGAAAAGATGGATGATATTCATCATCATGTGCATTCAAACTTGAAAACGTCTGCTGATTCCATGAAGCCATGTTATGCTAAGAGATCTACTGAAGTCAGCTTAGTACCATGAGACAAGGTGTGGTTGTATAATCCCAGGAAGACCAAAGCGAAGTCTCCTAAGTTGTCTTCTCTATGGGAAGGCCCATATGACATAATGGATCGTCTCTCAGACGTGACTTTCCGAATAAAATGTGGTCGGCGAGGTAAGCCAAAGGTGGTGCATGCCAACAGGCTTTGGCGTATCACGGTCCAGGACATTTCAGTTGGAACGAAGTGAACAACGGAACAAATGACAAATGACGCTGCTGAAGACGTGTACACCTGAAAAAACACTGTCGAAGAAGAAACTCTTTTCGGTTTTGAGAAGGAAAACAGTGAAGCCCTTGATGAAGTTACTACCACTGATGTGACTGTTACCAATGATAGGACGTTTCCTGATGAAGCAGATGAACCCCACTTGAAGCAGAAGCCAACGAGACGGAGACCAGTACAGAAGAAGATACGTCCCGTAAAATTAAAATACTCTGTTGAATTTTGATTTTGTGTTTGTAAATTATGTACATTTAATTAACTATTATCTCTTGAACTATGTTTTAACTATTATTCATTTTTATGTAATATCTCTTGAACTACGTTTTAACTAATATCTCTTGAAGTAACCTGTTTAAGCTCAAGGCAAGGTTTTTATTTAGTTGTTAGACCATGAGGTTACAACTTATGATTAGCTAATTTACATAATCTTTAAAACATTAATGTCTGTACATGACCACTAGGGGACGCTTATGTCAGTTTCATAATACAAACATACTCAAAATCAACGTGCTGTAGCTAGAATGTGAGTTATTGCTTTAATATAACTAAAAATTCATAGTTGAACTAAACAATAAAAGGATTAATAAATGAAAGGCAAACAAAATTATAAAATAAACGTAGAACTTGCTGTCTCACAAACTGTCTATCTTGAAAGCTATCAAACATGAAATCAGACTTGGTGTTAAGAATATGTCCAATTGTCTTGTTCAGTATGAAGTCATTCTAGAAAGAGAAATTAATTTAGATTTATTTTGTATTTTTCAACTTTTCATTTAACCTTACATTGATGATTTTGCTGTAGATAAGTGTTAGGGGAGAGAAAATGATAGGAATTTCTAGAGGTTTGGCAATTGATTTATAAAACTGTACAAGGGAAAGAAATATCTTTATTCTTAGGATAAAAATCACCTTTCACTCTGACTGGTGCTGGAAAGGATTTATACGTTTTCATCTTTAGTAGAAATACTTTATTAACAAATCTGACTTGTGTATAACAGACTCATATTTACTAAAAACTTGCCGAATTTTTTGTGAAAATACACTTAGTACATTCAGAATTTAGTTTAGAGGGTAAGATCTGTGGTAGCATCTCGAAATCAGCCCAAAATGTTGTCTTAAAACTTTCTAGATGGATTGAGTCCATTAATTTCTAGATTCTGCGTGAAAAAAAAATCAAAATTTAGTTCAGGCAACATTTACAGAAGTTATTTTCTTAAATTCATTTCATGAAATACTATAAAAAAACAAATATTGAAAATTCTTCCTTTAATCTTTGATTTAGTTTTTTTTTTTATATTGTGTTTTAGAAGGTTTGATTTTATATATCCAGTCAGCATTGCTTATTTTTCATTCAAATGTTTATTTTTAATTTTACTGGTTGAAGTAATTAACTTCCTGCTTTATTTAAATTATGCAAACACAATGAGACTAACAAAGATTATTGAACTCATTGTTTATAATGGTATCACTTTTGCTTGTGTCTTAACATGTTTTCACAGTAATCCTTTGGATCATGATCAATTTTTATATCTGATACTTTGTTTTCCGTAAATAAGTTCTAGTGTATATGTTTTGAATACAATGTATTCAATAAAAAAAGTACTTGGATTTTTCACTTGAATAGTTTGCTATCATGATCTAGTCTATCTTATTGCTGAACTAGCTGGAGTACTCGTCTCTTTGACGGAAGTTTTGTAAATTTATGATTAGAGATGGTTATCTTAGGACAAGAAAAGCTGCTTCCCTTATAGGTAATTGTAAAAAAAAAAAATGCAAACATGGCCATAAAAACTGCAATCACGTAGTTTGAAGCTGCAGATTTGCATATATCTCCGTATGGACCCAACAAACCTTCATGCCAAATTTGGGTGGAGATGCATCAACAGGAGCAAAATAGTGGTAAAAACCACCCATAAAAACCAAAAAATGCAAAACTGAAAATTTGTATGTATCTCCTCATGGACCCAACAAACCCTCATTCGCCAAATTTGGTGGAGATCCATCAACAGGGGGCAAAGTAGTGGTAATAACCAAAAACTGAAAATTTGTATTGTAAGATCCATCCACACCCTGCAAAGTATTTACACGGACATACAACAGACAGTACTATTATATTTATATTGATGTAAATATTTTTACTGATGTTGTTTCACAAAAGAATATTCCTGTAACTTTCCAATAGACCTATCACATAGAAACATTTTCAGGAATGAAAATAACATTATAAATAGCTGTGGGGGGAAAAAAGTTTATTTTTTCATTGTTAAAGAAGTATTTAAGTCTATGTTGAGCTAAGCTATCAGAAGTACAGCATGTTGAATCAGTATTAATAATAATTCATAACTCAAGCCACAAGTCTGCATTTACCAACTTTCTATACTCTATCCACCATTGACTTACTCGAGTGATCAAAATGTGTTAAATGCATTTTTAACACCCAAAGTTTTATGTTTTTTACCTTACTTACCTTTGGAAGGAAGGATAAAGAAAAAAATATTTGGACTTCTGAGTTTTTCTAATTTGTGTATTTTTTATTCCTTTTTCTTTCCCACCTTGAACACCTGTTTTCCATAATTAGGATTATAAAGTTTAGTTATCATAAGGGTTTTCTTAATCTCCACAGTGGCTGAACAAGAAAGGTGGCTGCTCCCTCCAATAATTCTCTCACATCTCCCCCCTTTTCTGTAATATATTCAAGAGTGTTGATTGTATTCAGTTTTGGCTATGTTTCTGTCTAATCTTGATGTAATCCCAGGTTCTGAACTTCCAGTGTATCATCGTACTCATCATTAAATTATTTTATCACTCAGTTGTTTGCAGACCACTTAAAATTCCATAATTGTTTCATAACTCAATCATTTGCAGAACACTAATAATTCCATAATTGTTTCATAACTCAATTGTTTGCAGAACACTAATAATTCCATAATTGTTTCATAACGCAATCGTTTGCAGAACACTAATAATTCCATAATTGTTTCATAACTCAATCGTTTGCAGAACACTAATAATTCCATAATTGTTTCATAACTCAATCGTTTGCAGAACACTAATAATTCCATAATTGTTTCATAACTCAATCGTTTGCAGAACACTAATAATTCCATAATTGTTTCATAACTCAATTGTTTGCAGAACACTAATAATTCCATAATTGTTTCATAACTCAGTTGTTTACAGAACACTAATAATTCCATAATTGTTTCATCACTCAGCTAAACTGTGTGAGGCGGAGGTAAACGTTTATCGGAAATACATTTTCAAGCAAGGAAATTGTTAATTTTCATTTTATGATATATTCATCTGGTTATTTATTTGAAAGTGTTTTACACTCTCCGTAGCACTTTTTTTTCCTGAATTTGTATTTTAGTTGTTTGAAACAAAGTAATACATTGTACAGTTAAGGTAATAGGATGTATTAAAGAAAAAAAATAGATAAGAATATCATAGAAGCTCATGCTTTTCACAATATTTCATTTATTAGTTCTTCTTAATGCATACTTTACTTGGATTATGATGTAAGCCAGTTACATTCACTGTATTTCTTCCATTGTAAGAGTCATGATAAAATAATATCTAGCTACCATATTAACATGTATTCATTTTTGTTTGTTTTTAATATTATGCAAAGCTAAACGAGAGCTATCTGAATTAGCTGTCCCTAATTTAGCAGTGAAAGATTAGAGGGAAGGCAGCTAGTCATCACCAACTTTTGGGCTATCCTTTATCAACAAAATAGTGTGATTGATCATCACATTATAATGCCCCCATGGCTGAAAGGGTGAGCATGTTTGGTGGGACGGGGATTCGAACCCGCGACCTGCAGATTGCGAGTCGAGCTCCTTAACCACTTGGCCATGCCAGGCCTCTATTAATTTTTAGCTTGGCTGGGAGTGGGATATATTATAAAATGTTAATTTTCCTCTGATCTATAAACTAAACTTCATAACTGAAAATTTTATTCATCTTACTGTAAATGTGAGCTTCCCTGGAGTTTTTGTGGGGTGGAACTAAATTAATATTTGTAGACGTATGTGTCAAAAGAAATGTTGAAACGGATGCCTTATGAAAGTATGCATTCACACATGCGATATTTAAGGTATCAGTAAAACCTAATGCATTAAATAATAGTTTTAGATGACAAAATGCCATCAGATATACCTTAGTTTCAAATCTTGATCACTAAGTTGTTAAAGCTCAAAACATAGATGTACACCAACAAATAAAATCACTGACTTATGTTCTTACACATAAGTGTTGAGCTTAACTACCGCTTTCGTCTTTCCTCAGAGGTTTCTTATTTCTGTGTCACATACAATTTATAATAATATAATAAAACTACAAGGTAAAAAAATTTATTCAGCTCATCAAGGCCATCTCACCCACAGAAGGAGAGAAAAAATACAAGTTAAATATAAACCATCATATCCATGTGTGTGTGTGTGTGTGTGTGTGTCTCCAACTGTATTTTATAAGAATTCAGTCTAATGGCATACACTATATCATCAGGCAATGTGTTGTACAAGTATAAACATTCTGTGAAAGAAATAAACTGCTCCCTAGGATCCAAAAGTTAAATCTACTTAAACACACACTTATCTCTAATTAATATTTTCTAGTTTTCATTACACGTATTGTATACTATTAACACTGAAGCTTGTTTGTTTGTTTTTTTTCCAGAAAATAATGGATTCAAGAAAAGACATTTTGTTCCTGCAAGTTTCATCATCAGTTTCTATGCCAAATACTGTGGAAACATCAGTTGAGAGCATAATAGTTTCATTTATTTTACATTACTGTGAATTGTCTACGTTAGATCTATGGCTTTTAGAAAAGTCACATTCATGTCCACAGTTCCTTTTGCCACTGAGTGCCTTGTCAGCCTGGACTGTGAAAAGAACAGATGCCTCTGACATGCCACAAGAGGCAAGTAGCACATTACAGGAGTGTGTAATTACTAAATATAATTATGTCAGAGTTCTGCAATACATTCTTCTGTTTCCCTCAATTAAAGAAAAGTATTGTCCCCTCCACATTTAGTGTATGTAAAGTATTGACCCCTCCACATTTAGTGTAAAGTATTGACCCCTCCACATTTAGTGTATGTAAAGTATTGTCCCCTCCACATTTAGTGTATGTAAAGTATTGTCCCCCTCCACATTTAGTGTATGTAAAGTATTGTCCCCCTCCACATTTAGTGTATGTAAAGTATTGTCCCCTCCACATTTAGTGTATGTAAAATATTGTCCCCCTCCACATTTAGTGTATGTTTCTTATTCTTTTTAAAAATACAGTATGTTCTAATAGTATACATATAAATGTTAAAGATCCTTATAAGCTATTAAGATGATAGAATTTACAATAGTTATAAATGTTATGTTACAGTTGTATGAAACTTTTCAGTGAAATGTAATACATCTGTGTGTCTACTGTATTTTCTTGTTTCTCTACTGATACAGAAGTTTTCAACCTAAGAAACTTGACTTTATAATCATAGTCATTTTATACATTATTTATTACTTCACATGTGATTAGGAATATTTCGTATAGAAGATCAGTTTGAATTAGCTTATCATTAAAGTCTGTGATTCAATTGATGGACCCACCTTCTCAGAATTTGTGCCTGTACTATCTTAGTAAAAAAACCAGGACAACTTTTAGTATCTTAACCTAAGAATGTTAGGATTGTTTTAAGAAGTAGTTTAGTGATTAGAGAAAGTTGCTAATTGATTGCTCGTTGAGTTTATTAATTAATTACATTTAACTAATCGAGGCTTCTCACATGAGACTTGAATAATTGAAAACATGAATATGATTAGTTGGTTATTAGCTAGTGTATGCCTCCTTTTTGTTTCTCTTTGTCAGGCTTCATTTCTTTGTTCAAAGATCTTCAGGGGTGTTGCTGACCCACTGGAGACCCTGACTAGGGCAGCATAGCATTAGTCCTAATTGTCTACTATGGTTTCTTGTACTTCTTAATCTCAACTGTTCTGTTCCTAGGCTGCTGAATCCATGTAATCTCTTCCCATCTCAGCTCTCTGGCCTTCTTTTACTTCCTATCCTCCCACTTCCTGAAGTCACAGTTGTTTGCTCGACTCGTCGATGCCTACCCTGTCAGATCTGTCCCTGTGTGAGCCTATCTTTCTCTCTTTGCTGGCCTATATTCTCCATTTTTGTCCGATAGATGGTTTATTCAGGTTCTTCCTCCAAGCCTATCTCTCCACTTCTCTTTAACTCTCTCTGTTCTCCTATATCTTCTGTATATCAAGGATGTGGTCTAAGATCTCTTGGCCAAGAATACCATTGAGAGGGTATTTACTCCTGCACATGGTTACTTTTCTTGTCTTTTTGTGGTACACAAGACGACTGGGAATTGAGAACCATTTACCAACCTCTAATCTCTCAACTGGTTTCATATCATCTCTTGGTTCCCTATGGAGATTTTTTTCCCCTCAACATTGGTTTTTTTCAGCTTGACTATTGATGAACAAGGTTATTTCAGACATTTTTTTACACATTCCAATTGCCCTGCCCTCTAGACATTTTTTGTTTTTGTTTTGTCCATTGGGATTGGATCTTCAGTACCATGCTCTTCTTTTTGGCATTGCATCTGATCCTTATATCTTTATCCTTCTGACCATGGGCAGGACAAAGTGTGTATATTGTATACAAATAAGCTTGGCATCAAAGTTAATAAATCAAATTTTAATATTATATAGATTTCAAGTTCTTAATTTTACAAGGAAATATTTAAAAAACTCAATCTTCCCTAGTATGAGAATTGTAGCATTTGCTTTCTAGGTCTTTCATCTTCTGAAATTTATTTACCACCCCTCTGAAAAGTATGGAATTTAATGTACATTATTCATTATAATGTAGGTATTGCTCAGGCTGAGCTGAATTTTTATAGTCTTCAATCTTACTTGTTTATGAAGACATAAACTAGAAAATCAGACCCACTTGCCACACCCACCCATCACATCCTCTTTTTCACAAAGTTCTGACATTTTATACTATATCATTTATAACCAATAGAAAGCTTAAGTTTTAATATATCAAATAACATATTATATTACATTGTTTTCTGTACATGAATTTGTCTATTTTATTGTTCAGTTTTTTTTTTCCAGGAATCACAACAATGATCATAGTTGAATTTTTAATGGCACTTATCGCATAGTTGGAAAGGCAAAAACAATTATAATAGATATAGGACATTGATTGCTTTGTGCATCTTATTATTCTGTGTTCCTAGATGCATTATTTAATTAAATAATTATTTAGTGTAGTATTACCTTTAGTATAAAAATGTAGGCTTAAATTTCATCGACAGTTGACAGCAAAAAATACAGGGGGACCAAGGTAAGTACTATTTTTTTTTGTTTTTCATGTGTATTCTATACTTATTATTGTCAAGGTAATTAAAATTGAAACATTGGAAACTTGTTAGATTATATAAAGTAATGAAAAATATAATTCTTTATGAGATATGCTTGTAATCAGCTCGTGCATTACATAATTCAATATGGTAATGTAAGCTTATGTTCACTGAGTGTCTTCTAACTTGTGTGGTGGGATTATTAGTTAAAAAGGTTCAAATGGCAATGAGTACAAGTTTTTAAGTATAAATAGATGTATACTGTTAGGAACTTGTAAGCTATTTGGGATAAAAAATTGTAGGTTCATGTTCAAATTTTC